TCTTAGTTTCACTTTAAGAATTAAGACTTAATTCATTAAGATATCAAAATCAAATTGATGTCGGTGCAAACCATGTCTATTGGGTACCCAAAAGTTCTCAAAATCACTACTAGAAGCTCCAAATCCACCCACAAACTATTGCCTTTGTTTTGGGAAGAAATCTAAAAAATAAAATATTTATCGAACTTTTGTTAAATCACAAAAGATTGGTTTTGGGGGGGTTTTCTCACCCTAAAGGCCACAGTTTTTGTTTTGGGGGTTTAAAGTCCCCCCAAACCCCTTTTTCCCCCAAAAAACATAAATGTTTTAACCCTCACTAAGGTTTTTTTTTCGCCCATCCTCGAAGTGTCACAGGCGGCACCTAGCCCGCCTAGGCAGCCGCCCAGAGTCAAGGCGCATAATGACCCCGCTCAGATAACGCCTAGGAATTTTTCCACCTAGACAGTCGAGCGGCCGAATTTTTTAACAGTTCGACCACCTAATCATCCGCTCGACCGCCTAGGCGAGCGCCTAGTTCTAGCGCCTAATAGTGACCGCCTTAAGAATGCCTAGGCGTTTTCTCCAGAAAGCCGCCTAGGTGTTCAAGTGGACAACTTTTTTATCATTGCTTCCTAGCAATCGGGATGAATTACACAATATTGAGACAATATGTCCATTCATCCCTATAGACTTCTATTGAGGATACTAGCATTGGTATTTGCAACGTAAACTCCAAAAAGGAAGACTCTTCTGAATTCCATTAGTGGCATATTTCTTAAGCTTCCCATAATCTGGTTTCTTGTTCAGTACAGTGGCAACTCGTCTCCACTTATCTCCTCTATGGATCTTGAATTCCAAACCAAAGGATAGTGCTGAAAATTTAGCAATCACAGTATGTTCTTGAACAAAGCACTGCACCCCTTAGATGATTTCTCACCTGAACTAACTTCTATCCCTTGCCCAAGCAAGAAAGTGATCTGGCTGTAGCATTTTATTTTTTTAAAGTGTTAAGTGTATCTGGCTGTAGCATTCTTAATGGTCCTAAATGACAAAGTGTCAATGTGGAAGTCAAGGTATTGAATTTAAAAAGAAAAATTATTTTATTTAATATACCTGAATTCCACTTACATAGACCACTAAATACTGCTGCTGTAAATCAAAATTAATACCCTAGATACAACCTAGGATCTTTACTTTCAATGCCAAAACAAATATAAACTATCCAGGAGCTTTAAACAAACTTCCACTATAATTTTTAGTACAGCAAATATTCCTGAAAATTCACAAAAAAATTAAGAAATATCATTCAAAATTAATTGAATCAACTGATAAGACTTACAAGTGGAAGCCTAGAGTTATCCTCACAGGTCTTGGAACACCCCACACCCAATTCCCTGACTGATTGCGCACGATTTAATCCTTTAAGTATTGCTGGAAATTCTAAGATAGGAAAGATTTTATAGGCAATACCTTTTATCTAGGGTTTTATAGAACTCAAAAATTATACTAGGGTTTGTAGAAACCCCATAGGAATAATAAAGGTTGAATTTGTGAGATGATCTTTCACTAGGCTCTGGGCTTCTCCCTTCTTTCTTCAAAATACAACAAACCCCACTTAAGATTTTCATGTCTCATCTTTCTTCTTTTATTTCTTTGAGTTACTACACACATAATGGAGAAGGAGAAAAGATGGCATGCCAAGATATGGAGGGAGAGAGAGTTTTTGTGAGAGAAAATATGGCAGAAAGAAAGGTTGGCGTGAGAGAGGAAGAGGGGCCTCTCCCTTTCTTTACTTTAAGTAAAAATAGAGGAAGAGAATTGTGGTGTGAGAGAGAGAGAGAGAGAGAAGGAAATCTTAGGGCATGAGAGAGAAATTTTGTTGTAATATTAGAGGGGGTTTCAAATTTTGTTTAAATGGAAACAAGATTCATGTCCCAATTTGAATAAGATTCTAATCTATGTATGTCTTATCTAAAAAAGTGGTGTGTCCCCCTAAAGGGGTTACAACAAAAATAATATTTTAAAATTTTGAAAAATATATTTCAAAATCATAAAAATATTTCTAATACAAAATAAAATATACTAGGAGTGCACTAGTACCAGTGGGTCAAAAAATAGCAGCAATAAGGGCACTCCACTTGCCCCAAGAACAATGATCCACTATTGTTTTCTTATCCAACCTAACAGAGACCCATGACCCACAACCTCAAAGCAAGGGCTCATGATGTCAAAGTTAGACAATAAGAAGTGGGACCATGGTCCTGAAATGTGGATTTCAGATATCTCCTTTAAGAGCAAGTTTAGCGCTTGTCACCACAATGTAAAAGCAGCTCTCTCTATGCACATATACACATGGCCCTTTACAGGGCTAGATCCCAGTAATGTGGTTGTCATGGGTACATGTTGTGCGGAAGTTTGTTGAAGTTTTAGCCTCTGCTCTCATAAGTCTACAACCGTACACAAGAGAACAGTTCTCCTCACCTACAAACATCATCCCAGGGTATCTCTCAGACCTCAAAAAGGGATGACCCACTGTAACACTTCTCGGTAGTGCCACATGCCCAAGAGTAAAGGTTTTGGACACGACGGGCTATAAACCGCCTGACCTCTTGGTTAGTCAACACACACACTCCTACTGAAGTGCATATTATACTATAAAATATCATATTTACAAGCTTTCTAGGCCTTTAAAGGCCACAAAACCCAACACCAAAATGTATCTTCTCTCTCACTCAATGGGGCTCCTACCTGGTTTTGTGTAAGAGGAATTTGGTAATCTGTTGGATCCATAACATGTATCAATATTCAATAGAAGTCTTTCTTTAGATATCATTGGATCTAGGATATTAATGTGCGGGCATCTTTCAGCAATAAATTCATCTGGTTGAACAATATGGCCACATTCAACCATGCATCACCTGATCAGGGAAAAGGAAGCACCATCATTCGATTAAAGTCCACATTCTGCTCTACAATCTGGACCCTTCCTTGGGGCCATGAAAACCAATGAACAGCTGGGCTCTCTCAACAATTAATAATTGGAGCACCTGTTGTTTCGCACATTCAAGTTCACAACGTTTGCACTAGAAAGTAGAAACTGAAGCTACATCCGACATTTGTTTGACATGATTATTACAGGAGGCTATACCACCAGAGAGCACACATAATTGGATGAGTAAGCAGATAAATGCATGTAACATGTAAAGCATGAGGAAAAATTGAAGATTCCCAAGTAGAAGGGATAAAACAAACCTCGGATAAAGCATTAACAACAGATAAGCCCACGCCATGCAAACCCCCAGAGACACTATAACCACTGCGTGAACCACCAAACTTGCCCCCAGCATGTAAGACCTATGCAATTTTTCACTAAATCAGTATTGCGCAGAGAAGAGTGTTAAGATAACCACCAATGTAGCAACTGGTGTAGATCCACTTAACTGACATCAGAAAGTAATAAATGATAAAGCATACCTCAGTGGTTACAGATAAAATTTAACAATCATATAGAATGGAAAAGGTTCACAACAGTAAGTCATTATACATCACTCTACCAAAAAGATGTATTACCCATAAAATAAAACAAATCTTGAAATCTGAACATCAAGATCTGTAGAAGTATACCATAGAAACAATTAAACAATAGATAGAAGGAACAAAAAAAGGCAACACTAAGATGAAAAAGAACAAGACACTTGTCAACAAGAAAAAGACTAAAACATAGTGGAAAGAAAACAGAATCCTCTTAAATGTTTCACTGAATGAAAACTTAGCAAGACTTATTTGATTGCTCTAAAATACAATTTACAGTGCTTCACATGGTGCTCTCAAGGTCAATTGTACAATCATCTGATGTTTGACATCTCATATACAGTGGGTTGAGGGCTTCTATCAGCATAGCATATAAAGATTAATATAGAGCACTTTGTAAATGTTGTGGCGGCAAAGGTTGAAGCATCAAGGATTCCTAGTAGTAGCTGCATGCTGATCCAACAAAGAAGTACTCATCACATAATGAGTGATAGTCCTTCAAGTAGAGAGTATTTTGAAGGTTGGGATGTAACTAGAGAAGTTCACGTGCTTTTATATTCTTGAGTAACCACATAATTGTTTTTTCAATGGGAGTGTCAGATAAAGGGAAGAGAGAGAAACGCAGAGCAAAAAGGGGTTCAAATGCATTAGCAATGGAGTAAAGATCGGTGCATGAGATGAAAAGAAAAGAAAGTTCTACCACAATTAGTCATGTGTACGAGCATCTAGCAACAGGCATTCTGAGCCCTCAAAGGTTTTGTTTATGAGGTAGACAAAGCTTACCAGGTTTGAGAACGACTCTGAGCAATGAAATTGGAGATAATAAGCCATGAATGTATTCAAGCAACAGATGATGAAGCTCAAAATTTTCAACTAGCTACAAATAAGATTTCCACAAGCATTATGGGTGATTTAAAATTATCAAATAAATAAACCATGGGGGCTTCATTTCTGTGTTCCTGATCTGTTATCACCGGTTATCTCAGGGACCACCATTACTAAAGACACAATTTTTACCACTAGGGAAATTCTGGTCCCAAATTGCATTACTTCAACACAGAAACCAAGGACATCAGTAGGTGTAAGAGTTCTCCAGGAAGGTAGAAAGAATCAATGCAAAGGAGCCGCATAGTAAAGAAAAGCCCTAACTGTTGAGATAGCATAGGAGCATGTGATGGATAGGCCCCAAGCAGATCTCTATCAATTGGAACATTCAATGCTCCTAAGAAATAAGATAATTTGGCATACGGATCAGTCAATGAGAAAACCAAGGAGAAATTCAGACAGAATTTCATTGACCAAGGATTTCCACCCATTCAAATTCAGGGAAGGACCTTATATAGTTGCGTAAGGCGCTCACGGAAATTGGATGAGGGACAAAGCCTTGAAAATAGCGATTCATACCTTGATCAAGAGACAAATTTGTAAAGTTTCCCTTGCACAAGCCTAACCAAAGATTTATCCAACACAAATAGTTTAACATCAAATGCAAGTGGGTTCATAAGAACAATGATTGACTTCAAATGCATCAAGAATATTTGTAGCAAGGATGAGAGGATGCTTGTCATCACCCTCTTGCTTAATTCAGACCAATAGAGCAAAACATTTCTGTTAGGCATTTTAAGACAATGCCCTAGATTAATTATGATCATATCACGGGAATCTGCATGATCATGGAATCATATACCAAGTCATGGAAGGCCGATGCGAATGAAGAAGTGCCTTAAATCAAAGACTCTAGTCCCCAAGAAAGATATTATTTCAATGACTCTTCATAGGAGAATGAGGATCACCAATGAATGATTGAACAAATTAGAAGAGGCAAAAGTTGAAATGATGCCAGAAATAAAATGCTAAAATGAATGAAAAAGTTAAATGGAGGAGAACAGACATGGGAGATGAAATTATTGTCCAGACAGATGGGAGTGAAGAAGTTGACTAGAGGCCAATAGCAAAGAGAAATGCGGAATCTGAAGCTAAGTTTTAAATGTATAGAATGGCATATCAGACAACATATCACAAATTGAGTACTGATCAAGATAAGACTGTTAAGTTTATCAACATTTGCTTAGTGTCACATTAAAATCTTTGCATTTCCAAATTTTACAAGGGCATGGGTGAAGAGAAATAGGATAAATACAAGAAGTAAAGATTGAAAACACTCGAACATGATTCCACACAAAGCAAAAAGTATGGGCAAATGCATTAAGCACTAAAAAAGAAGACTTTAATTTCATTTTGCACAGTTAAAAAATGAAACCTTTAAGAAAACAAACATGAAAGGTACGTAACACCAACGCAGTCTATAACTAATTTAGGGTTACAAAATATTTGAAGGAAATCATACCGTTAAAACAGTCTCAAGAGCAGATTTCTTTGTAACTTGATGAAATTCTGTAGGAATCTGGATAACAAAAGAAGAACCGAGTTTGATAAGGACATGGACTTCAAATTAGTGAATCTATACGTGGAAAAAGCAAAAATATGAACATGTCATAGTCACTATTTGCAATGTGACCTACAAAAGATGCAAAGCTATGACAAACCGATTTGTGTAAGTTATGGAGAATATAAATCATAGTTTCATACTGCCAATCATAGTTTCAAAAGCGCTAGGCGGGTCCTAAGCGGCCTGAGGGGTCCAGGCCGCCCAGCGTCTAGGCGGGCACCCAGAACCTAGGCGGCCCAGTCTAATCCAAAAAGGATGCCCAGACAAATATGCTTCTAAGGACTCAAAATCTTCTAAAAACCCCCAATAGATTTATAAAACATCAAAAATTAAATCTAATATCAATGGGTGATGTTTTGATCAATTTTTATCAACTTTAAAAATTCTACGTCTGGGTGGGGCAGCCGCCTAGGTGGGGCGCAGGCCCTGGGCTAGGCGCTGGGCACCCGCCTAGGTGGGTTCCGTACCACCTAGGCAGCAGCCTGGATTGGCCACCTAGGCCTGGGCGATGCGCTCAGGCCTTTTGGACCGCTTAGGTGCTAGGCGGTCCGCTTTTCGAATCACTGCTGCCAACACACATCATTGAGTACTATGGAAAACTCTCACCCCACGGCCATTGTCAGTTATGCTCACGGAATTATCTGAATGTAAAACGACATCCACTCTAGTGGCGAATCCTGCTTGAGCTTCGTCAATTGCATTATCCAATATTTCATAAACCTATAAGCAATCACAAAAGAACTCTCACCAAATTGAATGATACCCCGGTTACAAAGAGAATGAAAATAGATAATTAAAAACTAATAATAAGAGCCGCAGTAAGAGGAAACCAAATGGTGTAGGCCGCGAGGGCCCGTGCTGCCAATGTACATTCCTGGCCTTTTCCTAACAGGATCTAATCCTTCTAACACCTGCACATGAAAAACATCCATCAAACAATCGTCACCATCAAACGTTTCCTCTGGGAAACACAAAGCCATGTTTAAGCTCCATAGATGTCCTGAGTGGTTGAGGATAAACTTGGATTAGTAACACAAAAATAAGATACCATAATTAAGCACTCGCCATAGAGAAAAGGCCAAGCAAACCCAAAATTCCACCTAGAACGCTAGAAAACACCATGAATATGCAAAGACAAAAAATGGAATGGATAACATCCCTATCAAATGAGTGATGCAACCCAATATTAGTGTACAATGTAAGCAACTACCTCATCACAATTTAAATACAATTAGAAGCATTAAAATAAATTCAAATCGCATTGACCAGCCTAGTGGTAAGAACACAGTCACATTTTTCTATATAACAAGCACAACAGCCTAAAAATCTACAGAATTTCAGGGGCAGAAAAGACGCCATGGACCATCCTGCCTTCACATAATCCTCATGCATTACCAGCAGCAGAGGCGTGACACCCATGGTAACTTTATAATCCCCCATATTTTTAGCATGCCTGGCCGGCTTGGCTAGTTTGCTCAGTAGTTTTGAGTAATGCATCCATCTTTACAAACATTCTAAATTCCTCAGTAAAACTCATTTCAAAATGGGCTAGACTCATCTCCAAGTCCTCATACATCTCCCGCTCGGCCAATTCATTCATCAGTTTTATATGATCTAACCATCTTAACCAATTGGCTGAATTCAGTAAAACACATTTCAACATGCGTTAACAAGTGGAAAGAGTGATAGATTAAATTATGCAGTTTTGTGTCATACGGTACCATTATGCTAAGTGACACCACTCCTAACTTTAGGGTTTTCTCTATGTTATGTGAGTAGGTTGGACATTAGACCAATGGGAATGCTCCAAGTGAGTGCCAATGCATTAGCCTAAGTTACTCCAAAGATCTAGAATAAGGAACAGTGTCTGCTTTCCAGCTGAATATAAATGGTTTCATGATGCCGCACAAACCAAATAAAGAAAAAAAGGAGCAATATCAAGGATGCTAGAAACAGAACATGGCTTTCACTCAAGGTTTGAATACTTGGCTCAGGGTCAGGACTCAGCCTGAGCCGAGTAATGTGGCAGCTTTTTTTTTGGGGGTGGGTTGCGTTGGGGAAGAGATAAAGAGAGTGAGAAACTCGACTAGGTGTGTATACAAAGATAGAGAAATGAAAACAACGGGGCGGATTTCCATCCCCCTTTTAGAGAGAGAAAAAGATAAGAAAAGAGAGAGAGAGAGAGAAGAAAAGCAGGGGGCAGATTTCTGCCCCCTCTGGAGGGAGAAAAAGGGAGATTAAAAAAGGGCGCAGGTTTCGACCTAGCTTTTAGAGAGACAGAGAGATAAAAATTGGGGATAGATTCCCACACCCCTTTTAGAGAGATTGAGAGAGATGAAAAAATGGTTATCAGTAACAATACTCGGGCATGTACTGTAGGAAATCACCTGAGTACTATAGAACTCAGGCACGTACCTGTTCTACAGTACCCGGGCAAATTTGTACAGTACTCGCCTGAGTAATGTATATGTTCAGGCCCCCCGAGTATGTAGGAATAGCTCTGGCTAGGCTGAATGACTCGACCAAGTCCAGCCGAGCAACGCTGGTTTCACTTCGTAATGATAAGTTATGTAGGAATAGTCAATGTTCAAAAAAACGGATTCAGGCACTTAGGCGGTTTGGGTGCCTAGTCGCCTAGGCGGGCGCCTTTGGACAGGGTGCCCTCACCAAAATCAAACCCCCCCCAACCCAAAACATAAAAAAAAAAGGGAGTTCTTAAATGAATAACTGAATATATAAGACATTTAAGACTTTAGTTTGACTTTCACATAAGACTTAACCCATTAAGATATCACATAATCAATTATTTATCAAATAAACTAAAACAAAAAAATAAAATATCAAAAATAAGACACATTGTACAAAAAAGGAATCAATTATTCATAAAAGAATACGATATATGCTCAATTTCATCGTCCAAGTCAGAAAAAAAATCAATAAATCACCAAAAAAGTCAATCCTTTAACTACAAACATGTAAATATATCGTAAAAGAAAAAAAAGTAAAAGAAAAAGCACATGATTCATAACATAATATGTTGTAGCAAAATAAAATCAATGCCCTCTTTCAAATATGAAAATACTTTTAAAATATCAAAATCAAATCGATGTCAGTGCAAACCTCGTCTACTGGATCACCAAAAATTGCCAAAATCAACTATTAGAAGCTCCATTTCCACCCACGAACTATTGCCTTCGGTTTGGGAAGAAATTGAAAAAATAAAAAATTTATCGATCTTTCGATAAATCATTGGTTATTGAGGGTTTTTTCTCACCCTAAAGGCCACGGATTTTCTTTTGGGGGTTTAGAATACTGCCTAAAACCCTTTTCCCCCCTTTTTTAGGGGAAAAATTCCATTTTTTACGCTCATCAAGGGTTTTTATATGGCCACCTGCAAGTTGTCACGGGGCGGCGACTAGGCGGGCGGCCAGACGATGCGCCTTGATCGCCTAGGCGGGCGCCCAGAAGCAAAATGCATAGTGCCCCCACCCAGACTGCACCTAGGCGTTTTAAAAATTTTTGCGCCTAGGCAGTTAGGCGGCCGAATTTTCGAACATTGGGAATAGCTCTGCTTAAGGCCCATCATTTCTTAGTTTGCAATAGCCTTTGGAAAAGAAAGCATGTCCACCAAGAACTGAGCTATCCTCGGTCCATGCAAAGATATGGAATAAATCAAGGAGGAAAAATCGACCCCAACATGAAAGTATCTCAAGGACAGCTTTAAAGCGATATACATGACAACCCATATAGAGGAAAAAACAACTATTATACAGTGACAATCCTGAACAATTCCAAGACACTTGAATAAGGATCTAGCTAGACAAAAATGGAAGAAAAATAAGTAAAACCTTACAGAGATAGCAACAAACCAACAAACATACCAAAGTTCCTCAATTTTAATAAAAGAGATAATCAGTGCTTCTATGAAAATTTTAATATCTTACATTGAGAAACTCCAAAAAACCTTTACATCAGTACACATCAATCATGTAGGTAGCAACTTAACATGGAATAGCAGCCACATCTAATCAGGTGTAAATCCTAGGCTAGCAACTGCAATACTCATCATTAGAGAAACAAAATAACATGAAACTCAACTCAACAGAATTCTATAATGGGAATCAAAGTAACTTCTATTAGCAAGTCACCTGAATTTGTTCCGAGCCATAAGTTGTGGAGCTCAATGTCCCCTGGAAAGCTTCAGGCGAGATAGTCGATGACGTAAAAGCTCTAGTAGTGACCAAGGTTCTCATAAAAGAATCGCTCCTCTTAAGTGTTTTCATGGGTCTGCAAGGAAATGAGAACAATAAGAAATTGGTTTTCTAGAAGATGCCACACGATCATGCTGAAATGCTAATTAAAAGAAAAAGATAGGTATGAACCCTTAATTAGCAAGAAAAAGCACAAGAATTTAGAAAAAAAGGGGAAAAAAAAAGGAAGACTATGTTTCTTAACATGTACAAGAAGCAAACAAACATAAAAACTGAATAGGATATCCCAACCATCAATTTATTAGCCTCCAAATGATAATTACGGATCCTAATAACACTGTCCATTGAGCATAATTCTTATTCATACAAACTCAATCTCGCAGTATATTAAAAATATGCTCTCTTTCATTAGTGCCAAACTCATGCCAAGACCAAGCCCATCAAATTTCCGGTGGACATCAGAAATGTTCTCAAGATTGTGTTAGAAATGGGACAAAAGTGCAGGAAGACCCAAAGGACATTAAAAAAATAAAAATAAAAAAAAACAGGATACCTATATGGAATCTTTGAATCCCCCATTACTCCTGGAGCCAATTAGCATAATCTCTCCTATCAAATCTTAAGTATATGCAACTCAAAGAAGGAGCATCCATACTTCAACAATATGCTAATCCAGCTTGAATTTAGTTCTAACTATCAATGAATAATCTCTCAAAAACACTAAATGGCTAATAACTTAACAGACTGCTCAAACCATTACCCACCCTACCACTTCTTTTCTTAAATTCAAAAACTTGTAACGTGTTCATTTCAACCCAAAAAAAGTGTTTTGTTCTTTTTTTCCTTTATTTGAAAGGAACCCATGCAAATTTCCAGTTTGTTCAACTTGGCTCATTACTAATCTGAATGATACCAGACTCGAATCATCTCTGTGGTACAGGATAAGACTCATGGAATGAGTCTAAGTGAATTGCTATTAGATTTTTTTTTTCCTTAAATATATGTAATGTGCATTGCAGACGAAGATAAGTTGAATTGAGTTTAGTTCTTGCAAAAAGGATATTTTGAGGTGGACTGCCAGAGAGGGTAATATCTATCATCTTCGTTTATTTTTGTAGTTTTTCAATTTTTTCCCTCTTCTTCCTAAATCAAATAAGGCCATGGAAGTGGCAAGATAATACAGTGATACCTGAGTATAACTTGGTTTATAAGCATCAAAAGAAGATAAGCAAAGGCAAAGGCTTCATTACCTCAGTCTGCGAGCTGAAATATTCGGCAGAAGCAGATCCAGAAACTCCATTTCTGATGGTCGAAAGTTCGTATAGGCCGCCGGAATGGTGAGCATGAAGGAACGAATGGGTTTTGCAGGGTTGTCCGCACTGAAAAAAGGAAGGAAGCGAACGGAGCTCATAAACAAAGGACTCTTCCACCTGCTGATTCTGGTAAACATTCTCAAAGTTGAGATTGGGCATCTAGGATTTCTGAGTACCATTTCCATGGAGAGAGGGAGAGAGAGAGAGATGTTAGTGAAGGAAAAGGAGCAGAGGATGGAAAGGGCAGAAGAGCGGGAAAGAGGAGAGAGAGCGTGAATGTTTAGTTTTTATAGGGAGGGTTGCAAGTGAATTAGGCGGTGTTAAATTTGGATAAAACTTATGAGGACGATGCCGGCCGTTAAGTGCTGCAGCCGCAAAGAATGAATCAAGGTTGTCCGGATTCGTTTGAGGGTTAGAGAAAAATGAAGCAATTCAGTACTTTGATCGATTCAGGAAGATTTCATACTTTTTTTTAATTTAAAATAAATAAATTAAATATTTATATACAAAAATATATAAAAAATTAAAAATAAAATTTCAAATATATATATATATATATTTTGTTTATGTCAAAGAAGTTATACTCTGTCGAATCAGCCCAAAGCAGACCTGAATCCTGTGGCACAGTTTGGCTGATGAATTGGGAGATTGATCACCTAATTTGTAAGCCTTTTGTTCCAATTTTGAAGTGTTATTGATGTTTCAGTTATTTATCTTTGGTAGCTATTTGGCTTCTTTTTTTTTTCTTTTTTTTTTAGCACTTTTCTATACTAAGAAAAATTACCCTTGATTTCTGAACTTGGGTTTCAGTCAAGCTCCTCTAGCATGTGAAATTAGCAATGTAACTGCATTTGAATAAATTTATTTTTAGTTGTAAACTAGAGTGTGTATCATTGATCAGATTAAATTTGTAACTGCAACAGAAGAAGCTAAAGTAGGTTCTTAAATGCACTAACAGCATATCTCTTGAAACTAATACAACTTCACAAGGTTATATTACATTCCTACTTTCCGTATTTTCACTAATAACACAAATATTGTAAATCACAATAATGATATACTTTGAAATCTATCTTTTTGGGTAGGCTGTCTATTCTTGGATTAAGGGACTGATTTAGTTGAACTTCTTAATCCATTGGTAGATGATGCACGAGAGTCCATTCAGTTCTTTTCCTTTCATTCAAATGTGCAAGCCACCATTTTTTTGTGGTTTCTGCCATTCAATATCATTTAGCTTCTAGTTGGTTGAGATATACACAGTTTGTTTAAATCAGAACTCTAGTAAAGCTTATATGTCAAAGAGGTGAACTCGGTTGGCTTCATCTATTGAATGGCTTCATGAATGGCCACACTCTACTTTCTTGTCAAGCTACTCAGAGAACCTAGCATTTCTCTCCTCATTGGGTTTTAATCTGCTTCTAGTAAATTACAGGTGAAATACGGTCACTTTTCTTCTACATCCTAGATAATTCATCTTTCTTTTTTTTCTAATTTTATTATATTAGAAGGCTCTTCATAGTTTTGACAATTGGTCATGCTGTAATTAGTTTGTTTGCTTGTGGTATGGATCATATGCACTATCTCACATCTCCTTTATGCATTTGAAAAAAGCAGGCGAACAAGAAAGCAGACAACTAGTAGCAAAGCGAGAAAGCAAGCCCAGCATTAAAACAAGCGATGTCAGAAAGCTAGCACTCATAGCAGAGCAGTAAAGCGGTAGTTCAAGAATTTCCATTCGGGGATTCGAGGACCTCAAATGTCAAGCTATTTTGGCTTCAAAACTAATTAATCTTTGAAACTCCTTTTTGTTTGAAATTCAAAATAATTGCTCGATGAGGAATACTTATTTCATTTATCATGTACTTCTCCAATTAATAAATAAATTAGTTCTGATTAGCTTGATCTTCAATCCTTTGTGTTTGAAATTTAGAATTGCTGCTCGATGAGGAATAATTATTTCATTTATCATATACTTCTCCAATTAATAACTGAATTAGTTTTGATTGGCTTGATTTTTGCATTTTGCTCCACTAATGTTCTATGATCCTCCATTTTTTTGTGCTTTTAACTACAACTTGATGGAGACCTCTTTTTTCAGAGTAAAAATCACAACCATACAAAAACCGATGTATAATATCTAACTTGGGTAGTCTTTTTTGAAGTCATCGTTTAAAGCATCCTATAACACGGGAAGTTCTCTCAAAGGTTCTTTAGGATTTGGTGAGGAGCCACTACAATCTCTTCTCCGAATATTTGGGCGCCAGGTAAATGTGTTTCCTCATAAATTTGGGTGTAGATGTCTGCATTTGAACATGCCTTGACGTTTTTCCTCTATTAATTTTGGGCAGGATGTTGATGATGTCCTTGCAGCTATTGATCATGTCATTAAATTGAGACTTGCATAATCAACTAAGATCGTTGTCTCCCATGGAGGCTTTCCAACAACTCATTCGATTGGCTACGTGGACGCTTGAGATTTTTATTCTTGTGTATTTCTTACGACCTTTGCTTTCCATTGACTTTTTTCACACTTTTATGGTTTTCATGCAAATGAAAAAATGTTGGATGTTTTTTAGATTTCATAAACTATTCCAATATAGTATCTGGAGACTCGTTTTTTTTACAACAAAAAATTGTTGGATGTTTTTTAGTTTTCATAGACTATTCCAATATAGTATCTGGAGACTCTTTTTTTTTTTTGCAACAACCACCAAATTAAATCTCAAGGTACTATATCTTAAGCTTTCTCTAGATCAATAAAGACCATGATGAGGTCTCTTCCCTTCACCCCAAACTTCTCAATTAGTTGCCTAAGTAGAAAAATAGTATCAATTATTGACCTCCCTGATATAAAACCGAATTGATTTTCTATAAACTCATTTCATACCTTAGTCGTTCATCAATCATTCATTCCTATAGCTTCATGGTGTGGCTCATAAGTTTGATTTCTCGATAGTTCGCATAATCAAGTTAGAGCCTACCTCAAATATTTTACTAGAAGAGATTGTTTCAATGCTTAAATATCATCAAATTGATCATCTCGGCATCAAGAGCATGGACATGAGAAAAAAATGGATTTCAAATTTTGGAAATAGTGTATTTTGTAATGCATTTTTGGACCGTCAATTTTCAAAATTTCATAGACCTATCAATCGGACCTATTTTGTAAGCTTTAAACTTTATAAATAAAAATGAAAATATATTTTAAGGCTATCACAAAGATTTCGAGTGTTGAAACCACATTTCTTGATACTAGATATATAAGGATCCGGTCAGCCCACAGGCTGACAGTTACAGTGTCAGCCAACGAACCAGATTGAATTTCAGCCTGATCTAATGATCACGACCTCATTTCGTATTTGAATTTTCATTTTTTTCTACAAATCCAAATCACTTGAAATTTTGAGCCTCTATTCTTTAAAAATATGATAATATAATAAAAATATAAAACAATAATTTCACAAAATAAAAATTGATCAAAATACCCCAGAAAAGTTTCGGGGGTATTTTGGTTAATTTATAGTTTGTGAATTTTGTTATTTATATTTTTATTAGGTGCCTTGATGAAAATAATGAACGCTTAAAATTTCAAGTGATTTGGATTGTAGAAAAAAATAAAAATTCAAATACGAAATGAAGTCGCAACCGTCAGATTGGCTCAGATTCAATCTGAGCTATTGGCTGACACTGTAGCTATCAGCCCGTGGGCTGACAGGATCATTTTTCTATATAGATATATAAGTTTTTATTTTGGGTGTAGTTTCATAAGGTTGCAACCTTATATAATCAAATACGACGCACCTCTAAATTTTATTATAACAAGTAATTTTGGTGTAAAAACTTCTTATGATAACTTGAAAATCTATTTCATCTATAGTTATAAAATTTTAAACTCCAAAAATAGTTCAAATCAAGTAGATGCTCCAGATAGTTTATTGTAAGATGCACTTTTTTGAGACTCGAAATATCGCTTTTTTTTCATATTCAGACATCTCAATGTGATCAAAGGCCCACTATGAGACCCAAAAATCCAGCATGGACTACTAGTTTCCATGAACCTAGAATAGTATAATAATGGGTTTCCAATTTCTTGAAGGGAGTAAAGAGAGTCAAATTGAGGAGTTTCCAATATATGGGAGTTGGAGTATGCTTGGAACTTGGTAGATTGTGCAATGGGAATGGGTTAGCTTTTAATATGTATGAAAAATAGGAGTTTTGCATTGGAATTTATGTTGTATGGGTAATAGGTTAGTTTTGCATGTTTTAAGAGTTCCAAAGACGGGATTTAGTCTTCCAATGGATAGGGGGGACTTGATTAGGGGGTCTTTAGAAACATGTAGACTTAGGTTTTTAGTTCATAAAATATACAATGTTTTTAAAAAGGGATGACAAATTTTGAATGAAAAAATATAATTTGTTGCTAGCAACTTTCTGCTGCACTTGGAGTTGAGTGATTCATCCTTTCCAGCATGAGTGGTTCCGCCATAGCTTGTTAATTGAGACATTCCCAAATTATCCCTCACGTCTCGCGTGTTACGTGGAGATTATGTAAGTTTCTTTTAAGTTACAACAATTTGCTTGTAGGCTTTTGTAGAGCTTGGCTTCCACCCTTTTTTTCTCTCTCTACATTCTCTCTTTGTGCATGTTTCTCTCACTAAGTTGTTGTACCCTCACACTATAGCCGCATCATTTAGTATTAGAGCCTGAGTTCAAGCTTGAGCAGGGTGTTATCTCCAATTACACATTCTATTCCATGGTGATTAGGAGGAGGATAGGTGGGTGTGGCAATTACGGAGTGAACAATGCAAGAGACGAAGAGTTGGAGGCACTTCGTAGGCAAGTTGAGCCGTTTACCTTGCGGCTTGAGTGGCAAGAGACTTGCTCTAAACATGAGCTCAGCCGTGAATACTCAAAGCAATGAGTCGGTGACCCAAATAGTGATAGACATGTCATACTTATTGACGCAATATGTCATCGTCCTAGGTGCCAAATTGATGATGATTGGGCGGTTATTATGGAACTCTATTTGAGAACAACCATGAAGAAGTCTTGTTCTCTTCAAATAGTTCCCAAAATCAACAAGTCATCAATTGTGATTATCCACCAATCTTTGATATATATTATGATGAAGAATAGGGCAAGAGAGATGAACTTGCTCCCAAGATGATGGGGAGAACATATCTCATTGTTTATGAAGGAATAAGAGAGAAAACGGGTGCTGATGTTGAAAGCAAAGATGTAAATGAGGTGAAATCAAGAGGTACATACTGCAAAGAGCTCCTTTCTCTCAATGG